TTCATTGTTTCATGCTTAATAAAAAAGGTTTTATGGATTTCTTCATAGTGGCACACTAGGAGGTAATATACTCAATTTAGATGTCAATTATAACATCTTAAAAACCATAGGGGGAAAATATTAAGGCAAATGCCCAGCACCACATCACTTTGTATCATATAAGAATCATATGTATCATATGATGAGGTCCCCCACACAGTCGCACCTTCCCTTCACAAAAAAAAAAGCCACAAAGTAGGTTAATCTGCATTATGATCCTCTACTTTCACCATATGTATCACCAAAACTGTAAGTAGTGTGTAAGCAACTGTACAAGTGATGGACCACAGTATGGCAGCTTTTGTGGTGGAATCAAAACTGTATCAGGCATTGGATACTTTGTGTGGATTTTTCAAGCTTACACCAATACAACTCCCACTTTATCAATATTCAGTACTATAGATCATAATCTTCAAAATATCACAGTTGTGAGCCTTAACTTGTATTCAGTGTACACAAGACTCCTAGCAATGCTTGCTCTCATCCCCAATATTCCTTTTATGTGCTAAGTGATATTGTGTGGCCAGACCTAATGATTATCTTAAACAAAGCTACTTGTATATATATCTGACTCCATAAGTAACCAAATGCAAAAAAAAAAAGGATAGTTTACACAAAGAGGAATTCAGGAATTTACAGTACTTTGGGGCAAAAAAATAAAGCAATTTTTCATGTACATTATATTAATAGTACCCATTTAATTTAGTTTTATAATTTATTAATTAAACAAATTAGGCATAATAACCTTTAAAAGCAAAATAATAGCTGCTGCATGCATTTTATAAATCATTGCAAGTTCGTATTATGCTTTAAATTTGTAATAAAATTGTTGTGTTTGGGGTAGACAAGTACCCGAGAGCCTATTTTGACTCCCCTCCCTCCCATTCCGTACCCTATTGGCAGTCTTTGTGAACTGGTAGATCTGCCAACTGCCACCATATAAATAACTTAAAACAGTATCTTACAGCTTAAATGATCACATATTACATAATCTAATGAATATTTTATAATGCTTTATAAATGTATTCAAATAGATTAATAACTATATGAATAAAAATGCAAACATTGTACAGTAGCATAAACAAACCCAAATCTTGCCACAACTGGTGAGGTCACCATCCACCTCCGTGTAGATTATTTTCTGTTCTTGAAAATAATTAACTCAAATTATTTGTTAGAAGCTCTAAGAGCTTCAGTGTGCCAAAATCATGTAGTGACAACTAATATCAATACAAACTGCATGTTAATATAGTCTTGAATAGAACACTTGGACAATTTTTTTGTCATTCAAAATGTATTCTTTTATATGTATGGACGGTGCAATTTCTCAAGCATGCTTAGTTTTTTAGGTAGGGCTCTGTCCTGACCTTCTTAGTCTATGACTAATTACTGCATGTAACACACATTATTATAATCATATTGATTGCGTGAGGTCTTCTTCATTAACAAATTGTAAAAAGTACTTTTAACAGTAATATGATTAAATCTGCTTTAATACAATTACAAAGCCATACAACTTGAATATCATTAATGTTTTTTACAGTTTGCATCCATTTTTAATGGATCAATTAAAATACTGTCTTCGATGATTAATAGACAGCTATCCCAATGGGGATATTGCTTCCAAAAACTCGCTTGTATTTGGTTATTAGGCCATCTGCAGTTTCTCTCTTGTTCTTATGATCATGAACCAATATTACAAAAATGTTCTTTTTTTTTTCTTTTTGCCTTGTCACCTTCCCTTTTCCTGTCTATATATTTAAGTACCTGTATTGTATTTTACTGATTATACTTTTGATGATGTGTTAACAGGAAGTGTTCAAGTAATTTCTTGTTTCATTTCTCTTTGTGGTCACACATTTTCACATTATTCATCAAGTGTTAATTTCTAATTATTATTCACATACACACACATGCATGCACGCACGTACGCACATAAAGTTATAAGGTGGTGGATGCCAAAACCATCAGTAGTTTAAAAGTTTTGAAACCTTTTTTCTTATGGAATGAAATTTTTTGTTGTTACATGTATATTACATATGATTGTGATTTTTCTATTGAAGTAAAAACTAACTTAGAAATTAAAAAAAAACTGATCCTAACCTAATCAGAGATCAGGAAATTAAAAAAAAACTGATCCTAACCTAATCAGAGATCAGGCCGTGGGGACATTGATCCTCAGAATCACCACAAGGTAATCTAACATAACTAAGTAGTACCTCATGCTCTTAATATAATAATTACAAGATATAAAAGAATGAATCTATTTGTAAACAAAATGCTCTGCCTGTTAGATAAATCTTGCTTATCAGGCCAAGAAGTGTAGTTCTAACTATTAGGTATGGCATTAGTACATTATACAGTACTGTGTGTACGTATATATGTACATGCAACAACGATTACAAAAACACTGATCCAAGTATGCAGAAAAACCACATTTTATGAATTAGAGAATCGGCTCAATTCGCCTTTGTCAGAGCAAAATAGTCTCTCCTTATTTTGTTCTGACGAAAGCGAATAGAGCCAAAAACCCGTTCAGCATTTTCTGATTCTTCAAATGTGGTTTTCGGCATGTACGTACATACAATATATTGTATGTATATTTTTTGTTTTCTTATTTTTTCTTCATCTGAGAAGGAAGTCGAAAAATTAACTCTCCAAAATTCATTTTCCAATTTTATTTGACCTGATTGTTGACTGTATGATTATGTAATGTTATGGTTAGAGTTGATGTATGGAGTGGGATAGATGTAATGTGGAACAGATGTAATGATAGTGTGATGATGTAGCTTGATGGTTTATTGTGATTGTGATGGTGAGGTTGGGGTTGTTGAGTGGTGGAGTAGTTTGTGGATGTGGTATTGGATGGCAACATGATGGTGTGCAGTGAATTGAGAATGTAGTGTGTTGTAGCTGTGTAGTTGCGTTATGTAGTGTCTGGGTTGATTGCTTGATGTTGTAGCGTGTGTGCTGAGATCGAGTGGTGTGATGATGTATGTGGTTGGGGTATTAGTGTGGTAATTTAGTGTATGTTGCATGGTTTTATAATGTATGGTGTATTGTGTTTGGTTGTAGTGTGGTATTGTGTTGATGTAGTGTGGGGGTGTTGTTATGTGGTGTGATGTAGTGTGGGGGTGTTGTTATGTGGTGTGATGTAGTTTGATGGTGCACATGGTGCAGTGATGTAATGGTATATCTGGGTTAGTGATGTATGCAGTGTGAAGGTGTAAGGTTCATGGTGGAATATGTGGGTGTAGTTTGTTGGTGTGGTTTTATGATTGAGTGGTGTATGTAGTTTGGTTGTGTTGGAGGGATGCTGTAGTTGATGAGAAAGGGGGTTGTAATTACCTATCAGGATGAGGATGAGTTACAGGTTGAGAGCTATGCTTGTGTCCCATCTTCCCTGCAATCTTTGTCATATAATTCAAATTCTTTGAAACTACTGATGGTTTTGCGCTCCACCATCTTCTCACTTGTTCCAACTGTCTACCACTCTGTTTGCAATTGTGAATTTCCTTATATTTCTTTGGCAGTTTTGTTTAGTCGCTTAAATCCATGACCTCTTGTTCTTGAAGTTCCAGGTCATTGCAATTTTTCCCTATCAATTTTGTTAATTCCAGTTACTATTTTGTAAATTAATGATGATATTGCCTCTTTTTCTTCAATTTTCTAATTTTGGCATATTTAATTCCTCTAACCTCTCCTCATAGCTCTTGTCTTTTAGTTCCAGGAGCCATTTAGTTGCATGTCTTTGCACCTTTTCCATTTTGTTGATATGCTTTTGAATATGTAGGCACCATTCAACTACTGCACGTTCCAACATTAGTCTTACAAAGGTCATAAACAATTTCATTATTATTTCACCATCCATGTATTTAAAAGCAAATCTGAAATTGGAAAGCATAGCATAGGCTCCTCACACAATGTTCTTTATGTGGTCCTAAGGTGAAAGTTTTCTATACGCAGAAATCACAATAGCATGATAAATCAAATGAACAAATCCACAAGGGCCATGATGAGGGGTTCGAACTTGAGTCCGGGATGATCCCAGACGCACCTTAATCGACTGCACAATGACATGGTCAAAGAATTGCAACCGGGAGTGCTACTGCCCTCACACGGATCCTGCAGCTTCTCTGAGACACAAACCAACATTTTACACAATTCCTCCATGCACCCGGGTCAACAAGCTGTTCTACCTCTTCGCCCTTACTTCAATACAGTCTAGGATCATCTCAGATGTAAGTTCGAAAGATCATCACGGCCCTTGTGGATTTGTTCATTTGACAGTCTTCTATCTAGAACCACCCCTAGTTCACTTTCTTTATCAGAATTTTTTTAAAGCTTTTTCACATAATTTGTAGGTTGTGTGTGGTCTGTTTTCTCCTATTCCACAACATGGCATTTATTCACATTAAATTCCATTTGCGAAGTGGTGCTCCACTTATTTTGTCCAGATCTTCTTGAAGGGCATGACAATCTTCTAAGTTTCTTATCTTCCCTAGTATCTTGGCATCATCAGCAATATATCCATATAATTCTGTATCCCTTCTGGTAGGTCATTTATCTTGAGGTTATCTTGAGATGATTTTGGGGCTTTAGTGTCCCCACGGCTCGGTCCTCGACCAGGCCTCCACCCCCAGGAAGCAGCCCGTGACAGCTGACCAACACCCAGGTACCTATTTTACTGCTAGGTAACAGGGGCATAGGGTGAAAGAAACTTTGCCCATCGTTTCTCGCCGGCGCCCGGGATCGAACCCGGGACCACAGGATCACAAGTCCAGTGTGCTGTCCACTCGCCCGACCGGCTCCCAGTATTTTAATACAAAAAGCATAAGTTCAATTAGTGCAGTTTTGGTTTTAATCACCCATTAGCCTTTTTCTTGCCTAAAATAATGCTTACAAAAATTCAACTTTTAATATGTAATATGATTCCTTAAGGAACAGACTAAGAAACTGTGTAAAGTTTTTCATGGATACATTTTATTTAGACATAATTACTTGTGTTTTTCTCCTATAGTTATACTGTACTTTTTGTTGTGGGTTGTCTACAGTACTGTTAAGTTACTAACGGAGTTAGTAAATTAATAAGTTACTTTAACCATAGGAACGTCTCAATGCACGCTACACCTAACAACAGTCACCTTATTAAATTTGGGATTAGTTCAGAGGTTAGGAATTCAGTAGGAGCAGTGATGAGGGTTCGAACCCATGCGGTGGGCGCTCCCACGCACACACCTCTAGCGACCAGACCACAACACGGTATAAGGATTGCATCCTGGAGTTCTTCTGAACACACAAGGATTTGCAATCCTTATACCGTGTCGTGGCATAGTCGCCAGAAGTGTGCGCGTGGGAACACCCACAGCACAGGCTCGAAACCTCATCACTGCTCCTATGGATTTTCTTGCCTAAAATAATGCTTACAAAAATTCAACTTTTAATATGTAATATGCTCCTATGGATTTTTCTTTTCTTTTCCATTTATGTGGAAAACAAACATTACTGGTGCAAGAACTGAACCCTGTGGTATGCCACCCGTAGCTTTTCCAAATTCCATTGCTTCTACTTACTTGGAACCCTCCCTATCACTCCTCCAGTATATTACAGTTTCCACAACAACTTCTTATGTGGGACTCTGTTGAAGGCATTTTTTAGTTTCAGATAAATGCAATCAACCCAACCATCTCTTTCCTGTAAAATCTATGTGGCTCTATCATTGAAACTAAGTAAATTTGTTTACAGGATCTTCCAGATCAAAAACCATACTGTCTGTCTGTTGTTATATAATTTTTCTCCAGGTGTTCTACCCATTTGGTTTTAATTATTTTTTCCAATATTCTGACTACTACACTTGTCAATGATATAGGTCTACAATTAAGGGGGGTCTTCCCTGCTGCCACTTTTTTTTAGACTGGAACTGTGTTAGCTCTTTTTCCATATAGCTATCAACTGTATACATTAGTGGGCCAGCTAGAGGCTTATGGCCCACGCAGGAATATCCCTGCTAAAAAAAAAAAAAAATGTATACTGAGGTGCCTGTAAAATCAATTGAAATGGAATGCTGAGGTCAGGTGTGCACTCTCTCAGTACCCAAGGTGAAACTCCATCTAGGCCAACTGCTTTGTTCCTACTAAGCCCTTTTAGCATTTTTTCCACTTTGGCTGAAGACACCTCTATGTACTCTGTGATTTGTGTTGTCTGGTTCTCTGAAAACATTTTGCACAAACACACTTTGGAAGTATTCATTTAGTGTTTCACACACATCCTTTTTTTCTCCATGAATCTTCCCTATTTTCGACTCTGGTTCCTCTCCTAACAAATGATTCTTTTCAATCAATTTTTTTTTATATAACTTGCCAAGTTTCCCATAGTTTACTCTTTAAATCAGGTTTTTCCACTATTTCCTTTTCTCCAATCTCTTCCAAATTATAATTCATTGTATATTTGATTTCCAAAAGGTTATTGGGCACTGTTACCCAGTGATGGAAGGAATTAAATGTAAAATCTCTCTTTCCTGGTAAATACTGGATCCAGCAATGATGGAGCATCACCTCTCATTCTTGTGGGCTGTTTTACATGTTGATACATAAACTCCAGGATGAGAGTTCAAATTGGGCGGTCTGGTCTCTGTTCTTGCTTCGTACGCTTCCCGGTGTGTTGATTTAAAATTTAAGTTGTTAAGTATCAACATTATGATTTAACCTTATCGTTTTTTACAATAATCTTTCCTATGATCATTATAAGGCCTTCTCTTTTGTCATCTAGCTGCTCCTCAGTTATGTTATGTATTATGGTGGGTGTGGTATGCGTGTGCTGTAATGTTGTAGCCTGATGATGATCGTGTTGTGATAGCATGTTTTGTGGTGGTTGTATGATATTGGTTTGGGACCCTAGTGTGAGTATCATCAATTTTGTGAGTCAGTTCTCGTGTAAATAGCCAGTTTTGGCCTTTGCTTATGGTAGTACAGTATATGGGAGCCCAGTGCTTGTTTTTCAAATTGCTTCAGAATGATTTATTTTTATATCGAGACGTGTGTGTGTTTTGTGTTAAATTTACATCGTTCCTTGTTTTATTACAGTACAGTACTTCTAATTTTCCCTCGTTTGCATTTTCACCCATGTTTATGTTTAATAGGTAGTTAGCAATATTGTTTTGGTTATCTTCCTTACTACCCTTGGCTCTCTCTCCATTGTGTTAAGTCTGAAAATGTCTCCATTCTGATATGAAAATGCTCACTTTTGATTTCACACGCACGCACAAGCACACACACCCACCCACACACACACGCACAACAACATTTGCATGGCATTGAAGTATTGTAGTTGAAAAATATTCATGGAAAATCATTAAATAATTTTCACAAAATGCAGAGCAGACACCTCTTTTCTAGTTTGTGCTGGAACATCCTGACAATTATATTTATTTGTAGCTGTAGATAATATGGAAAAAACACTTCCATATTATTACAGTATTCTACACATTGTTCTGATTGACATCACAAAGCAGCCAATCCACATTTGTGCCATGTACACCAATAAACCCGCTTTAAATTTGTGAAGACATGGGCCATGAATCAATAAGGTGTCCTTGCTCACGTGATTCCATGTCAGGAGGAAGACCATAGTAATTATACCAGCAGCTTCAGCCAAGAGCTGGCTACCTGACTCTGCCAGTGTCCAAACATCAGAGTTTGGAATTTTTATGTGGGTTCGGGGAATGATAAGTTGCAAAGCAGTAGTAATTCTTTTAGATGGAGAATCTAGTCTATAAAGAATTACCAGCTGGTTAAACTGTTGCAAGAAGGAGATTTAAATACTATGGAATTTAACCAGTTAAAATAACATAACCAATTACAAACAATGTAAAGTAACCTTAACAAAACTGTGACTAGTTCTAAACAAGTAGTGAGGCACAAAGCCATATCTTTGAAATGGAATATTTATAATGAATCTACAAGCAAAGAAGAGACTGCCATGCCTCACTACTGCAAAAAGCACAGATGAAACAGATGTGCAGAAAATGGCAACAGGTCTCTGAACACCAGTTATGAACAAGAAAAGGGGGATCAGAACAAATATTCTCTTAACATCACAACAACTAGACTGTCTCTTATCCTATCTGATATTGAGCACACGTCTATAAAGTCAATGGCGATCTCATAACCAAATGAGCACCATAAATACTGTACCAGGTAATGCGCTTTCAGGTAACAGTTAAGCATCACTTAATGCTCATTTGTCACCATGAAGATTGGATTCAAAGGGTTTTGTTATGAGTTCAAAAGCAAACAAATGATTTGTCACTGAAGTTTAGTAATACAAAAAATATTTTCCAATAACAAATTGCAAGCGTAAAGGAGCAGTCTCCTATTTCCTCTTGGAATCTGCTGCAGTTTCCAATTGTGGAGTTCAAGTGTATACTTTCTGTTCAGAAGATTTTATTTCAGTTTCCAGAATACATATTAGAAAACTGTACAGTGTACTGTCACGGTATGGCACGAGAGCTTATAGTTTTACACGTATGATTAAAATCATACTTAGTTCTTAGCATAATAAAATTACTGATTGCCATTGCATCATAAACCACAGCTGATAGTCGCACCACTCATTTTAGCACCTGTAAAAAGCCTTTTAAATAGGCTGATAGTTCTATCGTAGCAGTTAATGTGAAAAATAGAGTCAGTGTTTTCTCTAAACATCCATTGTTGCAACACTACAAAACAGAACTTATTGGATTAATAACAATATTAGATCTATAAATTAGTTTTTTTCTTGTAACTGATGCACTGCTACATTTCTTAAACAAAAAATAAAAACATTATCATATCACTTTTTCAGTACAAGATTGAGGTTTGACCCTCTGGATACTGTACATCTGCAGTTTTTAATACTGTACTGTATATGTGGACCTAGGTTTCATCAGCAATCCATTAAAACATCCTTTGGATCCACCCAGCTCAGTACATTAAGAGCTCATGGTGTGATGAAACAGTAGGTGTAGGTGTTCGAGATTCCTCAGCACCACTCCCTGAGGCTGATAGCCCGCAAGGGGGGTGGTGCTGGGCGTAGTCTCAGACGACTGTTTCCGTTCGCAATGAGGTGCGGCTGAGGTGGTGAGCCTGCCGAGCTCCCAGTACTGGTGACAAGCTGCGATCACCCTGAAAACAAGATGATTTTAAAAATCAGAGTTGTGAAAAAAAATATAGTTAATGTTAGTGAGTATCAAGAAAGGATTTGACTACTTTTTCTGTGTAATTGATGAAAACATGATGTGTTCTTGATGTGCTAAGAATCAAATAAATGGGAAAACAGTGTTATACTTAATTTTTTTGTACGAGAAATATGAAAAAATAAAATGCCATTCTTTATATTTACTATTTATATTTACTTGAGTATTTACAGAATATTCTTTATATTTACTGAGATATAATTAGGATTGAGACAGTGACAGTCAAAGCAAAATTACTTAAAATCTATAAGATAAATGGTTTGATTGCATTAATCTGACAAAGGGATTAATCTCTGGTCTACTGTTACAGTACATCTCGATTCAAAATTTGTGTGAAATGTTAAAACAAATATAACCATGCCACCCCTCACACTCTCTTTGCCTCTTTCTCAGTACAGTACTGTCAACCCACCCATATACTGTAATGTTAGTGAATTGTGTACAATGTGTTTTCCTGAATGATAAAACAAACTAAGATGAAAATATTGCTGAAATTAGTCTTGATGCTGCTAAATGTGGTAGGAACTTACCTAAATTAATACAAAGTACAGTAAAGCCTGGATTTACCTGAGGGATACCTTCATGGAAAACCTCATGCAAATGATATTCATGCAAATGAAGCTGAAGGTTTTGTGGAAATAATAGGTATGCATTCCACAGACCTTCCAAAGTTTGGGTATTTTCCACTCTTAACGCAATAAACCACATGCTGGTCAGTACAAAAGTCCTCCTGCCACTTTTACCAATACAGTACTGTACATTATACAGTACCCAGGATAGAAAATGGAAACTATAATATACCCCTGCCTTGAATGATCATAACATTTCCTAGCAGCAATTTTCATTGGAATAGCTGCATTCACATAAATAAAATCGCCTGAGAAACAAGTGCCCTTAATTGGTTGTATTGTAGGAGGTTGTTAGTATAATGGTCGGCAACACACACAAAAGGTTGTTGGTGTCGAGAGGTTAAAGGTGTTAAGTTCACCAAAGCTAGAAGATAGAAGAAAGAGAAGTAATGTGATCACCACATCCAAAATAGTAACGGGACTCAACGAAATTGACAGAAGAATTCTTGAAATCTGCATCTTCGAGAACAAAATGTCGGACTCAAACTGACCCCCCCCCCAATCTATTTTTGCAGTGATAGACAGTTGGAACAAATTGAGGTAATGGTGGTGGAGGCTAAAACCATCAATACAATAATTTCAATGCAACATATGACAAAGACTACTGGGAAGACAGAATACCATGAGCTTAGCTCTCATCCTGTAACTTCACTTGGGTCATTGCACACTTTCCCCAGACTGCTGCTACTTCCCCACTATTATTCCAACTGTTCCTCCTCCCTCCACACACATGGCTACTACTTCCCCACACACACTACTCCCGCGTGCGCGCACATCATTATTTTTGTTGAACCCTTTAATTTCTTCAGACTTCTGCCTGTACCACTCCCACACTGCATAATCAACTAAATCAGCATGAAATTTGCCTCAGTAGAAGACACTGAAAAACTACAAACATAATAAAATTGGCAGTGGGCACTTGATATTCAGACAACGTGATATTCAAGTAAGCAATTTCAGCTACACTATGGTGGCACCCCAAAAATCTAGATCCTGATCTAGTGGATTTCGAGGAAACCCAGTCAAATCTCACTGGATTTTGCCTCTAAATTTGAATTTCCCTCAAAAAATAATCTGGACTTTATGGAAGATGAGGTGAAAAACTTGCCATTAGGTAAATGGGCTGGTATTAGTTTGTTGTGGCACAACTTTACCCTCGCTCCCACCAATGTTTTCCACAATGTTTTTATGGAGTGGGTGTGGGAATATTCCAATGTCCCTGAAATGATTGTGGAAGTAGTGTGTGTAGTAGTAGTAGTAGTAATCAAAGCTGTCGAAGAAATAAGAAAATTCACTTTCGCAGAGTGGTACACGGTTGAAACAAGCGAGGTGGTGGTGAAGGCCAAAACCATTAGTAGTTTCAAAGCGTTACATTACAAAGTGCTGGGAAGATGGGACACCCTGAGTGTAAACCATCCTGTAACTACACGGCTAATTTTTTACACACATAGATAGAGCCCAGTAGGCTCAGGAACCTGTACATTAGTTAATTGACAGTCGAGAGATAGGATCAAAGAGCCAGAGCTCAACCCCCGCAAGCACAATTAGGTAAGTACATATACACACACACACACACACACACACACACACACACACACACACACACACACACACACACACACACACACACATATGCCCATATCTTAAGAAGCACATCAACAAACTGGAAAAGGTGCAAAGACACACTACTAAGTGGCTCCCAGAACTGAAGGGCAAGAGCTACGAGGAGAGGTTAGAAGCATTAAATATGCCAAAACTAGAAGACAGAAGAAAAAGAGGTGATATGATCACTACACACAAAATAGTAACAGGAATTGATAAAATCGATAGGGAAGATTTCCTGAGACCTGGAACTTTAAGAACAAGAGGTCATAGATTTAAACTAGCTAAACACAGATGCCGAAGAAATATAAGAAAATTCACTTTCGCAAACAGAGTGGTAGACGGTTGGAACAAGTTAGGTGAGAAGGTGGTGGAGGCCAAGGCCATCAGTAGTTTCAAAGCGTTATATGACAAAGAGTGCTGGGAAGAAAGGGACACCATGAGTGTAGCTCTCATCCTGTAACTACACTTAGGTAATTACACACACCCACACATACACGGAGCCGGCCAGCCGGGCGAACAGCACGCTGGACACGTGATCCTGTGGTCCCGGGTTCGATCTCGGGCGCAGGCGAGAAATGATGGGCAGAGTTTCTTTCACCCTATTCCCCTGTTACCTAGCAGTAAATAGGTACCTGGGAGTTAGTTAGCTATCATGGGCTGTTTCCTGGGGGGGGAGGGGGGGAAGAGAAGGATTGGCGGACTGCATTTTTTTGGACGGTCGGAAAGCGTTTGACACAGTACCCCATTAAAGGCTGATGCATAAGCTGGAGAAACAGGCAGGAGTAACTGGTAAGGTGCTCCAGTGGATAAGGGAGTACCTAAGCAATAGGAAGCAGAGAGTTACAGTGAGGGGTGAGACCTCAGATTGGCGTGAAGTTACCAGTGGAGTCCCGCAGGATTCAGTCCTTGGAACTATACTGTTTCTGATATATGTAAATGATCTCTCAGAAGGTATAGAATCATTCCTCTCATTGTTTGCTGATGATGCAAAAATTATGAGGATAATTAAAACAGGAAGATAGTATGAGGCAACAAGGTGACCTAGACAAACTGAATGAATGGTCCAACAAATGGCTACTAATGTTCAACCCGAGTATATGTAAGGTAATGAAACTATGCGGTGGAAACAGAATACCGAATGGGAGATGAAGTACAGTACTTAATGAAATGGACAGAGAAAAAGATCTAGGAGTTGATATCACACCAAACCTGTCTCCATGTAAAAAGAATAGCATCTGCAGTGTATGCGAGGCTGGCTAACATCAGAACTGCCTTCAGGAACCTGTGTAAGGAATCATTCAGAATCTTGTATACTACATATATAAGACCAATCCTGGAGTATGCGGCCCCAGCATGGAGCCTGTATCTTGTCAAGCCCAAGACGAAGCTGTAAAAAGTTCAGAGGTTTGCGACTAAGCTAGTCCCAAAAGTAAGAGGCATGAGTTATGAGATAGGCTGCGTGAAATGCATGTCATGACATTGGAAGACACAAGAGTAAGAGGAGATATGATCACTACCTACAAAATTCTCAGAGGAATTGACAGGGTAGATAAGGATAAACTGTTTAACATGGGTGGTATACAAACAAGGGGAGACAGGTGGAAGCTGAGTACCCAAATGAGCCACAGGGATGTTAGAAAGAACTTTTTTCAGTGTCAGTAGTTAACAGATGGAATGCATTAGGCAAAGAGATGTGGTGGAGGCTGACTCCATACACAGTTTCAAATGTAGATATGATAGAGCCCAGTAGGCTTAGGAGTCTGTACATCAGTTGATTAACAGTTGAGAGACGGGGCCAAAGAGCTGTAGCTCAACCCCCGCAAGCACAAGTACGTGAATACTCACACACACGCAGCTATGATGTCTGGGTTAGAGAAGACTATTTCACATTTGGAAGGGTTCAGGAAGAGACTCGGGCTTACTTCTTTTTTGCACTGGTAATGTTCATTGTCTACATAAACGATCTACCAGATGGAATAAGAATTAAACATGAATAAGAACATGTTTGCTGATGATGCTAAGATAATAGGGAAGATAAGAAACTTAGATGACTGTCATGCCCTTCAAGAAGACTTGGACAAAATAAGTATATGGAGCACCACTTGGCAAATGGAATTTAATATGGATAAATGCCATGTTATGGAATGTGGAATAGGAGAACATAGACCCCACACAACCTATAAATTATATGAAAAATCTTCAAAGAATCCTAATAAAGAAAGATGTAGTGGTGGGTCTAGATAGAAAACTATCACCTGAGGACCACATAAAGAACATTGTGCGAGGAGCCTACATTACACCTTCTAACTTCAGATTTGCTTTTAAATATATGGATGGCAAAATACTAAAGAAATTGTTCACGGCTTTTGATAGACCAAAGCTAGAATATGCAGCGGTTGTATGGTGCCCACAGAAGCACATCAACTAACTGGAAAAGGTGCAAAGACATGCAACTAAGTGGCTCCCAGAACTGAAGGACAAGAGCTACGGGAGAGATTAGAGGCGTTAAATATGCCAAAACTAGAAGATAGAAGAAAAAGAGGCGATATGATCACTACATACAAAATTGTAACAGGAATTGATAAAATTGATAGGAAAGAATTCCTGAGACCTAGAACTTCAAGAAAAAGAGGTCACAGATTTAAACTAACTAAACAAAGCTGTCGACGAAATATAAAAAAATTCACTTTCGTAAACAGAGTGGTAGAGTTTGGAACAAGTTAGGCGAGAAGGTGGTAGAATCCAAAACCGTCAGTAATTTAAAATTTATACGACAAAGAGTGCTGGGAAGACAGAACACGTCTTCCCAGCACTCAACAGCAGAGAGACTCATTCCTCTCAATGTTTGCTGATGATGCAAATATTATGAGAAGAATCAAGACAGATGAAGACGGACAGAGACTACAGGATGATCTGGACAAACTAGAGGAATGGTCTAGAAAATGGCTACTAAAATTTAACTCAGGAAAGTGTAAAGCAATGAAATTAGGAAAAGGGAGCAGGAGGCTGAACATGAGGTACCATCTGGGAGGTGAAATCCTGCGAGTCAAATTGAGAGAAAGATCTGTGGGTTGATATAACACCAAACCTGTCCCCAGACATTAAAAAGATATCAGCAGCAGCATATGCTAGAATGGCCAACATAAAAAATGCCTTAAGAAACATGTGTCAGGAATTATTCAGAATCTTATATACCACTTGTGTCAAACTAATCCTGGAGTGTGCGGCTCCAGTCTGGAGTCTATACCTGGTTAGACACAGGACAACGTTAGAGAAAATTCAAAGGTATACCACCAGACTAGTCCCAGAACTGAGATGTAAGTGCTATGAGGAAAGGCTACACGAACTAAACCTCATGTCGCTGGAAGACAAGAGTAAAGGAAGACATGATCACTACCAACAAAATTCTCAGGAATTGACAGGGTGTACAAACTATTTAGCATGGGTGGAACATGAACAAGGGGACACGGGTGGAAACTTAGTTCCCAAATGAGCTTCAGAGATGTTAGAAATAATTTTTTCAGTGTCAGGGTAGTTAACAAATGGAATGCATTAGGCAGTGATGTGGTGGAATGAGACTCCATACACAGTTTCAAATGTAGATTTGATAGAGCCCAATAGACTAAAGAATCTGTATACCAGCTGTGAGGTGGAACCAAGAGCCAAAGGTCAACCCTGCAAGCACAACTAGGCAAGTGCACACTGTACTTATTTACTTAGTGTACACATTATATACATTTTTACATAAAATAAAGAATTCATACTTTGCACGTGCAAGAGTGAAAAGTATTCGATAGAATGCATGTAATTTTAATCTTGGCCAAGTTCAAGCAGGAAGTATACAGCATTATTACAATATACAGTATTCTCAACTTGTGCTAATTATCATTCCAATGTGTAAAGTCAAGGTAAAACTTGAAAACGATGACTTAAGAGGAGGATAGTTATAACCAAGAGCAAGACATACACATGGTCATTTTAGACAGCACGTCACACTCATGGGGGAAGTATCACTTTTTACTGGAATGAACTAAAACATTTAGCATGATATCAACCACCCGGTCTTCTACACATTTTTCTTACTAAGAAAAGGAAGACAGCTAAATTCAAGAGGGCAAACATGATGTACGTTAATACCGCTGTGGCCTACACTGTCCACTGAGGCAAATCGTGCCCCACGTTCACACACGTGCACATGATGAGGAAGAGCGCCGTCCTCCCGCCGTTTCACGTGTTTCCGGTGGCACCAGATGCATACCACAATGAGGAGGACTGATGAGATGCCCAGGCCCACACCAACCAACATTAATACATTTACTACTGGATCTTTTACACCTAAGAAGAGACAAAGAAATTAAGGGTGACATTCAGTGAGAATTAGTTACACATTCTGAATATTCAGAGGTAGATTCACCCCCCCCCCCCACCTTACAGTTCACCTATATACATGATGAATATACTCAGTGGATTACTTCCCAGTCAAACATTCCTATAAATATATGAACTGTTCTGTCAGTAATGATGCATGTAATATGATGATATATATCATAGAAATGTCTTGTATAGTTAGGAATAAATAATGATATTTTCTCATCAAATACCCTTTACAGTTTCATCAAATTTTAATTAGAAAGTCACAGTTTTTAAAAGATAAAAGTATTCCAACTGAACATCAATGTATGACCCGTAACAAGTGTAAATACCTAAAGAAGTGTATATAAAGCAAGATACTTAGTACATAGTGCAATTTACATCACTTTATGCCAATCCAGAAAAAAGTTTGAGGTGTTAAGAGCATATATTAAAGTACCCAATAAGTAAAAGTTTTAATTTATAATGCTCCGCCAACTTGACACGTTCCTCTACTTACAATTGTCTTCATCTGAGAGATCACCCACACCACAATTTGGTACTCCATTGCACAGAAGATTCTTCGATATGCAGAAGTTGTTTTTCGAGCACAGGAACTGTTCACATTTTGGGCCTGAAGGGAGGAAATCAGTGGAGGAGATGTACTTCACTGTACTATTCTAAACATTATCTCCATTTTGATGATCCATTCAAAATCTTCCGATAGTTCAGCGAGTAAAAACGTGATGAAACTTCTATCAAAAGATGATGAATGAGGCATACTTTAAAAAAAAAGTTTAACCATGATAGTAATTAAATACTCTTTTACTAAAAATATTTTATAAAAGAAATCATGCAGTAATTGAGTTAAGAGATTACAATTCTACGAATTTTACATTTACATATTATAACTGCTTTATAAGTTAGAACAAGCACCTGTACATCATGCATCAAAATATTTTGATTAATAGAAAATGAGCATCCTTTTTATATTGAATGTACTCAAAAGTGATTAACATTTATTATAAATTTATCATAGATAGCTTAATTTGAGGAAGGGGAAGAAAAATAATTTAAGATGCTTTTCATTTCACTTAGGGGATGGGTTCAGTTGTATGAACTTATCTGTGAAAGCAATTCACACTTAAAATATTACTTGAGCAACAAAATGATTTTGAAATTTAAATTTTAATATACAGTACTGCATATCGGTGCCATAATTTGCTATAAAATTTAGATATGATACTTAATCAGTACTGAAAAATTATAAATTAATCCCATAACTATTATTGTCCATAGAGTCTTTGAGAAAAATGTATGTCACAGTAATATTTTCTACTTGAATTCCAAATAATACCATAAAAAATTGAAAAGGGTTGCTCTGTAACAGCTGAACTGTAATACAAAGCTCAACAGAACTACACATTGGACACTGCTGTTGTGTATCTCCAGCAGATGGTGTAGATTTATGCAGTCACAGGGGCACTAGGAGAATATTCTGTGTTGAACAACCTGTTTTGAATACAGGAAATAGATGATTGAACAAAGCAACTTATTTGTCATCAAGCTACAGTGCTTTATTAAACAGCGAGAGAATACTCATAAGATACTCAAACATATTTTTAAGAGTTTACCCATTCAGTCATATTACACCTCATTGTACACTATATGGTCACTGATTTCTCCAACATGCATCCCACTTGCTCATACAGTACTGTCAAGAAACATCTCTCTCCATCACCTTAATTTTCTACAGCTACTGAAACTTAATTCTATATAATAAATTAATCTATTTTATAAATATATTACTTGTAGATGAAGTTTCCACCGAGTTCTAGGGCTAGAAAGGATCGAGTGTCATATGGGTCAGCTTATTCTCCACCTCTGGAGAATAAGCTGAGAAAAAGAATAATTTTTCAGGACAATTTTTTTGGGGGCACACACCAGGAATGCCAAATTTAACATATGCACAGTGCAGGGGCTATACAACACAGGGGGTCGGTGGCTGACTGAACAGCACGCTGGACGCGTGATCCTGTGGTCCCGGGTTCGATTCCCAGTGCCGGCGAGAAACAATGGGCAGAGTTTCTTTCACCCTGATGCCCCTGTTACCTAGCAGTAAATAGGTACCTGGGAGTTAGTCAGCTGTCACGGGCTGCTTCCTGAGGTGTGTGTGTGGTGTGGGGGGGGGGGGGGAAAGAAAAAAAAAAGTAGTTAGTAACAGTTGAGAGGCGGGCAGAAAGAGCAGAGCTCAAGCCCCACAAGCACAACTAGGTGAATACAACAACAAAATGCCATCTTCTCTCCTTCACAACACCTAATTCCACTATTCACGTAGTGTAATGTGAAATCATACAATTCTACCATCAGCATTCGTTAAAACACATGCATCTATCTGCTTTCTGTATTTTTAATGCATCTTTAATTTTCCCTCAACAAGAAATTACCTCTTTTTCCTTACAAAGTGTTAACATTAATCATGGTGACATGCTTCCTACCTGCATATTAAATTTACATACTCAATTTTAAAACATAATGCCTTTTCATTGCAAAATTCCTTGGCATAATTCTAAATCTATTCTCTAATTTAGTACATATCAAGAGTACAGTATTTGGAACAGTGTCTATTCCTTATTTTTTTTTTTTTTAAGATATATACAAGAGATGTTACATTCTTGTACAGCCACTAGTACGCATAGCTTTTCAGGCCGGTCCCTGGAATACGACCCCCCATGAAGAATCGTTTTTACTACCAAGTACCTATTTTACTGTTGTGTTAAACAAAGGCTACAGTTAAGGAATTGCGCCCAGTAAATCTTCCTCGGCCAGGATACTAACCAATAACAAAGCGCTCGCAGAACGCCAGGCGAGTGTCTTACCACTACACCACAGAGCCTATACAGTATTGCATTTGTATGTGCAAATCCTTTAGTATTACTGTATACAGTATTCCTTTCTGTCCCCCTTTTACAAAACTTTAATTTGAACACTCAGTTAAATATTTGCTGTGTAAACCTTTCTGTCACAGGCAGCTTTCTCATTCATTAGTAATTTCCTCTTTAATGCTTCCAGTCAAAACCATCAGACACTTTTCTCAAACTTGGTCAATTATTTATTTGAAATTCATGCATTTTCCTTCAGAAATTGGCCATAATTCAACCTACATTACTTTCTAGGGCACACAAACTTGTCCTCACTTTCTTGAATAGTATAAAAAAAAGTAATCATCGAAACAAGGCACCATGTTGGGAAGCACCATCAAAGTTGCAGGATAACAAAACAGTACTACCTATCACCAAGGATGTCAATACGAAAACAGAAGCGCATAAGGCAGGCAGTATCAAAGGTATCAGATTCACCAAGGATTTTACCGAGGAACAAGTCACTGCAAGAGACAGGCGGGAAGCAAGACTGACAGGTCAGGACATTCAACAAGGATACGTACGATTGTAAGAGGGGCAATGCAGTTTGAACAATAAGAAGCAGGGTGGCACTCCATTATGTGCCTGCTAGTTAAAACATATATGAGCAATATGTAACTTCGCCCAAGCTGTTTCTCACAGCCAGTTATGGTGATAGGAGTCTAGAGGGACAGTCTACTGTTAAGAGCACGCAGTTTCCTACCAGTAACAGAAGACCAACGACCCTGCCAATGGGCACTAATCTAGGGATGAATGCCTGGGTAGAAATCTGAATAGGGAACACCTTTTCAGGAAATGGGACAAGTGTGGATAGCCTCTTTAGCAGCAGTGTTGTATAGTATCAATTAAATTTTAAATTAAATAGTTATCTTAATATGTTGCCACTACAGTAGTGTTAATACAGTATGCCGCCTCTTCTATGGAACTAGCAAGTTGCGTACCTCCTCTTTTTTTATATCGCCAGTTGATACACCCACATTATTATTTGGTTGCACAGCTTTTATATATACTGTAGTACCAAATTTATATAAGTTTTTAACAGAAAAAGTGAAATTGTGAAAATTTTCCATTCTCAGCTTTTATGTGGAACAGTCTACCACCCTACGTCTTTAGCAACTTGACATCCAATCCTTTAAGAAGCACTTTAAGAGCTACTTTTATTGAGGTCATGTGCTACTGAAATCAAAATTCTCTCAACACAAATACCTTATGTATAGATGTTTTTAATCTGAATAAAGTATTTGAGGTTTCTACAAGCACGTCACCTTTCTTTCTTGCCACTCTCCATCACATTCATACACCAGCCATTTGTACTACTGTATACTGTATGCTTCATATCCATTAAACAAATTAAAAACAAAATACTGATGTGAAATGCCAAAGGAAAATGCTCCAACAGCATAATTGTTTTTTGTTAAACTAAATTTCATGTTACTGTATTTGCATTGCAAATTTGTCCATCCCCTATGGTTATGCAGATGGTAATGTGTTAAGGTCTGGGTGTTAAGGTAGTTTATAATGCATGCAGTATTTGATTACTTTTAAATTAATTACTGTAAAAGGATATCAAACTTATTACGAATCTTGTATTTAGCCAATCAAATGTGTCATGAGCTGCAACTTACTATCCTGAATTTCTGTCCAAATGCCCTCAAATCCCTTGGCTCCTACAGCTTTATCAGCAGTTAAGAAGGCCACTCTCATTAAAGAGGATTTTGAGATTATTATGGAGGCATCGTCGCTCAATCCTTCACCACACAACTCAATTGGTACTTTATCCAAATCTGGCCAAACACGAACGACAGCTGCTGGACATCCTCTCTCTGTAAAGTAAGATCAAAAGGTAAATGCAGGATGGCATATACACATCAGCCCGGTATAGCTCCAGGAGCCAAAGAGGCTTTCCACAGAAATATAGATTGATATATATAATTTGTGTATATACTGTAGAGTAATAACAGCAAGAGCATTGATTAAAGTACGAATATAATACTGTATACCTTATGTGTCACTAGATATGAGCACCATATTTTTTAGCCTAACATGTTCCACACATTTAACTAACTAAATATTATATATATAAAGTGTACACCATAAAAAAAAAGGGAGGGGGGGTAGAAGCGAACACTCATACGTATTCAGAGTTAAATGGCAAGTTTTTCTCTGAATGCTCTGTGTTCCCTTCTTTGAGGCTATGGGTCCCTATAATTGCACCAGAGGTAGTAACCCCCCTTTATTTATTTATATACTGTATAATGTGTGTATATCACGAAAATAAACACGTGATTAAGAATGTGACAATGTCAGACCACGAAGGAAAAATGAAACAGGAAATTTCCTTAAGTACTTTCGTATATTAAATACATCTTCAGAAGGTCCCTTCTGAAGATGTAATAAATAAACTACCTAATAAATTCCCTGTAATCTACCTCACTCCTCTATTGTCAACCCATGTCTGTTATTTTCTTTTTTTTTTTTTTTTTTTTTTTTTTTAATCAACACTGTTTGTCAACCTATTGTATTTGTGCTGCTTTTTCAGTCATGTTTCCCCCTTTTTTTTTATCTTTATTTGTATTTGTTCTCAACATCTTTTATTCTTTATGCTCAATTAGTATTAAGTTCTAGATATTAATGTTTTCTTGCCCGAAACGCATTGCGTAATAGTGGCTTTAGGCATTGTATGTACTAGCTCTATCTATATATCAATCCATTAATGTAACATCATTTGTATGTATATACCTTACCTGAATAAACATCTGAATCTGAATCTGAATGTATTTAATATACGAAAGTACTTAAGGAAATTTCCTGTTTCATTTTTCCTTCGTGGTCTGACATTGTCATATACTGTATAATAAATATATATATATATATATATATATATATATATATATATATATATATATATATATATATATATATATATATATATATATATATATATATATATATATATATTATATATATATATATATATATATATATATATATATATATATATATATATATATATATATATATATATATATATATATATATATATATATATATATATATATATATATATATATATATATATATATATATATATATATATATATATATATATATATATATATATATATATATATATATATATATTATATATATATATATATATATATATATATATATATATATATATATATATATATATATATATATATATATATATATATATATATATATATATATATATATAATATATATATATATATATATATATATATATATATTATATATATATATATATATATATATATATATATATATATATATATATATATATATATATATATATATATATATATATATATATATATATATAATATATATATATATATATATATATATATATATATATATATATATATATATATATATATATATATATATATATATATATGAATGACAATGTCAGACCACGGAGTGAAGATGTATATTAATACATCTTCACTCCTTCTGAAGATGTATTAATATACGAAAGTACTTAAGGAAATTCCTGTTTCATTTTTCCTCCGTGGTCTGACATTGTCACATTTTTAATCACGTGTTTATTTTTGTGATATACACACACATATATATATATATAGTATATATATATATATATAGATATACATATATATTTTTTTTTTTCATTCCTCAAATTACACACTACTGAATAATATTACTGTCAAAAAAAAAAAATCAAAGAGCAGTGAAATAATTACGGGGTATATAAAAATGTGATCAGAGAATGCATTTTAACACTGTCAGAACAAAAATTGGGGAAGGGGGGAATCATTTTTTCTGAACACTGAGGGATTGTCATACATATTTAATAGTACTGCAGCAGAGTAAAGCAGTAAATTGTAAAGATCGTAAAGCAAATTTGCAACTTATCAAAATCTAAAAGTGATAGTTATCAAACTTGCTTCCACTTTGTTAAATGCACATATTAAGTGCCTAAGTAGGCTGGTATTAATGCATCAAGTGGTTATTAAGTTTAACATTAATTCTTCTTTACCTTCTGGATTTCCTTCAACAGAAAATGATTGAAGCCAAAGTAAAATTTTGTGATAGGCTCGAACATGAATGAACCAAGTGCAAGAGAGTGCTCCACCCTCCCGATCAGGGTCTGGCCCATCGTATTTATTCGGCCAATGTGGTGAATGTATGATTCCATACTCTTCATCGGTGATGTTTCCACCACAATCTGATAAAATAATATACAGTCAGTGGAATAATGGTAGATAAATGTAGGATTACAGAACAAGTAAAATACAGGATTATTTGAAAATGTCTAGTCATAAAAAAAAAAGTGTTGAATGTAATGAAACGCCATTTTCTGGGCGAAACCCAGAAAATGGCGTTTCATTACATTCAACGCTGGTTTTTTTGGGGGGAGCTACCTACCCAAAGACGAAAACAAGAGGGACCTAACCCAGGAGGCCAAAAAGTCGCATACACCCCCAACGCGAAGCAGAGACAAAACTGCAACTGCCAACCCAAGGCCACACAGGCCCGAATAGGCCCAGGAACATCAACGAAGGAATGCAGAGCCAACCAATAGGCAGGTGCCTATAAAATAGGCAGACTGCTTATCTGCCCGATTGTGCATAGCTCAAACACAAACATTATTATCAAACACAATTGCCCATGTGAACAACAAAAACCTAAGGTCTCTCTGCCACTTGACATCTGGACTTGCTACTTAATGTATACAGTACAATGATTATCATAGCGATAATTATATTTAATGCTGTACAGTACTGTATTGTATTTTTTCTAGGTTCAAAACTTGGTAAGTTGCAGACAAGAGCTGACATAAAAGTTTGTCTTTTATGGTTTTGTAAATCACATTCTTTATGTATAATATTTATTTCTGTGACACTATATTATCATATTGACTGCAGATACAAGTCGGTAACAGTTATGGATTTTTTCCATATTATTAATGTCTTTTACCATTGTCTTTTACCAAGGCGCTTTGGGGGCGCCTAACAGCTGGGTGGACAGCACTTCGGATTCGTAGTCCTAAGGTTCCGGGTTCGATCCCTGGTGGAGGCGGAGACAAATAGGCAAAATGTTTCTTTCACCCTGATGCCCCTGTTACCTAGCAGTAAATAGGTACCTGGGAGTTAGACAGCTGCTACGGGCTGCTTCCTGGGGGTGGAGGCCTGGTCGAGGACTGAGCCGCAGGGACACTAAGCCCCGAAAACATCTCAAGATAATCTCAAGATACCATAGGTATGGGACACAGCAAATACACCAGAATTCATAAATGAAATGCAAGAGAAATCAATTTGTACAGTACAATGTTTATGGTCCATGCTTTGAATGTGAGAGCAAGCAATGTAATACAAGTAAATAAGCTTTATTCTACTTACCTCTAAACAACATTTCCTTAGTTTTAAACTGATATTTTGCTTCGAAGCCACTATAGACATTCTCATGGTCAGTTCTGAGTACAACACGAAGACCTACTGCTTCACGTTCACTCTCTATAGGACCAGGAGCTGCCAATCCACAGTATCGACCATTTAATCTCTCTCGTTCAACATCAGACCCAATTGGTCTATATACATTATATATTTCCACCCAATCTGCTTGACAGTGATTTCTGAAAAGGTTAAATTAATAAATTCACACCAGAATGCATAGTCAATTTGCAAGGTTATATACAAGTACTAATGACCTTCATAGATATATATATATTTTTGTTTTTAATACTGTATGTGCATTTGTTAAAGATTAATTATTATTACTGTACAGTATTACTCTATTTCATACTTTCACAAGGTGTGGAGGCATTTGGACAAATTTAGAAGTGTAATACAATGCAGCAAAGTAGAGTTAGAATATTCAGAACATCTGAACAAATTCACAAGGGCCGTGATGAGGGTTCGAACCTACGTCTGAGAGGATCCCAGATGCGCCTTAATCTACTGTGCCACGACATTGTTAATTAAAAGAATTGCAATAGGGAGTACTACTGCCCTCACACGGATCCTGCAGTTTCTCTGAAACACAAATCAGGGTTTTACACAATTCCCCCATGCACCCAGGCTCTGTCAACAAGCTGTTCTAGCTCTTCGCCCTTACTTCATTACACACAGAAATTACAATAGCATGATGCATCAAATGAACACATCCACATGTCGTGGCACAATCGATTAAGGAGCGTCTGGGATCCTCTCAGACGTAGGTTCGAACCCTCATCATGGCCCATGTGGATTTGTTCATTTGATGTTCATCAAATGCTTAAGAAATTTAAGCATTTCTGAAGATATTGGAATTCAATCTCTTTATATGCAGTTGTGTAAATACTGTACTTCTAAATACATTCCTATACAAACACATACATGTGAAATCTCATTTTTAACCATTTATAAATAAAATTAATATCATTTTCCACTCGCTAAATTTTTACAAATAAAAGAACTCACCCATAAGTTAAGTTATTTTTTTTACTGCTGAGCTCAAACTGATTAAATGCCAGCCGAACCTGCTCATCTGGATTGGCTTGAAAAGTGAACTCGCAGGTGGTATTGGACGGGTAGTTGGCAGGGTGCCGGGGCGAGTTGAAGATCCCCTCTTTGCGACTTGAACTATAGTAGGTGAAAATGCATTTCCCATCTGGAGATGGTGTGCCTGGTATCTTGTATTCTGTAATAATGCTCAAGTTACTATAAAAGCAAATCAAGAAAGGAGAATTTTTATGTAAAGTAAAATGCAAGTTATGAAATATGTATATGTAAAGTACAGTATACAATTGCCCAGTCTTAACTTCTTCAGTGTTGATGTGTTACAGACACCTAAAACCATATTACAATATTCATTTAAATTATTTCTGCACTGTATAGCAAAATAACAAATTTTGCAAAAAACAGCAAAATAGCAAATAGTATAGCAAAACATAAATTTGCATTATAAACTAGACACATGACATCTTGAAACTCACCAGTTTCAAATTTGTAATGGGCTTTAAATCTTCCACCCTGGTATTTTCCCGAACTGAATACCATGACAAGCCTTGGACCTGCCGACACCACGGTCTGAGGCAAGGTCTTTCCACATACTTCAAAGTCCGGACTGTCATAGGCATTCTCCATTTCCTGCCCTTTCAAATATATTCTAAGATAGCCATCTGAACAGCTGCAGGGAAGAGAGTAGTCAATGGTTATTTAATAAATTATAAAGGTACAGGTGAAGAGAACAGAGGCTGCAAATAACTTATTCGACTATTGGTGTATGGATCAGAACAGATTCTTGTGGCTTTTAGGAATGGGCCATAAATATACTTGAGGGTATAGTAGATATTAATTAGGCATTCATATCAGGTATCGTGAATTATCAGAGACATAATTCTGTATGTTCCATGATTTGGTGTTGTAATAACCCTCCAGAGGCATAAAGTCCGGCAGCCACAAGTGGTTGGTTACTCACCAGCTTACTGGTTACTCACCAGCCAGAAAGTATACTTTAATTCTGGACATAATCAAAAACTAAAGTAAACTGTATATACCTCTAGAAGAGGGGGTATATACACATTTTGTTATAAAATACTGTATATAGATGTAGAGTATATTCATAATTCTTTGGTGTACATATATCCTTTGTATCCCGTGGCCACACCATAAATCTGATATATTTTTAAGTATCTGAAAATACACACACACTTCACCCCTATGGTTTCTTTAATTTATATAGAAATTTTTTTATATTTTTTAATCCTAATTTTTATCTTTAAATATTTCAATGAAGTTATTTAATTCATTGTGTTGGAGGACAGGCAGCTAGTTTATACATTTAGTACATGTTAGGCTTTTATCCAGGTCCCCCTCCAGAGTTGAATTACTGACCCTCCCAAGGATGCAACCCCACAAGCTGACTAACTCCTGGGTACCTAGTTACTGCTAGGCAGACAGCAGCAAGAAATGATAGGAAACATGCCCAACCATTTCTGTCCGCCCAGGATTCTAATCCAGAATTCTCGATTTTGAGTCAAGAACGAGGCAGACTGTACTACCAGCACCCTCTATAAATTAATAAATGAACTTATTTTAACATGTTTATGTTCTCATATTTAAAATTGTAATATGAAGTGACGTTCAATAGCTTGCAAAGTAATATAATTACTGTACCGTGATTTCTAGCTCATTGTTATTTGCAGCTTGAGAAGCCAATTTCTACATACATTTACTGTATATAGGATACTGAATTCTCTAATTATTTAATTACCTGTACTGTACATTGTTCATCCTCTAATGTCCAGGTTTTCTTCATTGCAACCCTTATATCAATGTTCCTGTCAAGATACTATCAGATTAATTAAAATAGGTTGAGGCCACAGGCAAAATATAATTACAGTACTGTACAGAAGAAGCACCATCGAAGGAAATAATGGCTCACAGACCCACCGTTAGCAAAGTATTGTGATGTATTAACATTCATCCATTATATCGTAGTGTAGTACAGTAGTAGTATTTTATAATAACCTTGACTAACACGTCCCACTAAAACAACATACACATCATACATACATTCTCACAATAAAAAACAGAAGTGATACTGTATATACAAAAAGTACATCTTACTTTGTGAGAAAACCCGTAAAGATCCTTATCCTCATCATGGCTCCTACGGATTTTCTCATTGATACATCATGTTAGTGTGAATGATCTCTGTTGACTTTACTTAATCATAGTGAGTACATTTTTATCTAGTTTAGTAAACATTTTTAAACTTTTATTCATAAGGTTATTTAGCACCATATATTTTAGCACACGTTATAGATTCTTAAATTTGCTTACTTTTTATCTCCTTTGGGTTCTGCTGGTATATCAAATCGGTCAAAGAATAGAAGCCTAACTCTTTCCAAATTCTGAGCATCTTGGAGCCCATAGATGAAATACCTACAGACAATATTCGGCAAGTACGGAAAGGGATAATTAGGGCTATAAACCGTGCCATTGGATTCTTTCTTGCTCAAGATACGTTGATCACATTCTGTCCCTCTAATGTGCTCGGAATCTTGAACGTTGATGAAATCTGACAAATAAGAAAATTGTACATTTTTGCAACTTAGTACAGATAGTAAAATATGGCAATATGCAAATAGGAAATTATTAAATATATTATTAATGTTGTATTTGTTTATTATTAAAGTGTATTATTAACACAAAATCTTTATTATTAATGAAAAAGTGTTTATTAATGTTGATGAAATCTAACAATAAGATAAAATTGTACACTTTTGCAACTTAGTATAGATAGTAAAATTTGGCAATATGCACATAGGAAATTATATTAAATTCAAAAACATAAAACGTCTGAAACTGATCATTTCAAATGTGTATCAGATTATAGGAAGAAAGAGGAAGAAAGAAAGAGGAGAGAGAGAGAGAGAAGGAGAAAGAGAAAGAGAGAAAGAGAGAAGGAGAGAGAGAGAGAGAAAGAGAAAGAGAGAAAGAGAGAAAGAGAGAAGGAGAGAGAGAGAGAGAAAGAGAAAGAGAGAAAGAGAGGAGAGAGAGAGAGAGAAAGGCGAGAGAAGGAGAGAGAGAGAGAAAGGCGAGAGAAGGAGAGAGAGAGAGAAAGGCGAGAGAAGGAGAGAGAGAGAGAAAGGCGAGAGAAGGAGAGAGAGAGAGGAGAGAGAGAGAGAAAGAGAGAAGGAGAGAGAGAGAGAGAGAGAGAGAGAAAGGCGAGAGAAGGAGAGAGAGAGAGAAAGAGAGAAGGAGAGAGAGAGAGGAGAGAGAGAGAGAAAGGCGAGAGAAGGAGAGAGAGAGAGAGAAAGGCGAGAGAAGGAGAGAGAGAGAGAAAGGCGAGAGAAGGAGAGAGAGAGAGAGAGAGAGAGAAAGACAGAGAGGAGAGAAAGAGAGAAGGAGAGAGAGAGAGAAAGAGAGAAAGACAGAGAGGAGAGAGAGAGAGAAAGAGAGAAGGAGAGAGAGAGAAAGAGAGAAAGAGAGAGAGGAGAGAAAGAGAGAGAAAGAGAAAGAAAGAGAGAGAGAAGGAGAGAAAGAGAAAGAGAGGAGAGAAAGAGAGAAAGAGAGGAGAGAAAGAGAGAGAGAGAGAAAGAGAGAGAGAGAGAAAGAGAGAAAGAGAAAGAGAGAAGGAGAGAAAGAGAGGAGAGAAAGAGAGAGAAAGAGAGAGAAAGAGAGAGAGAGAGAGAGAGGAGAGAGAGAGAGAAAAAGTCATGTAGCCTGGTGAGTTCAAGCCAGGGAGTATGGTGTTGGTGAATCAAAGTAAATGCTTACTAGGCTCAAGTCAGATTTAAGATACAAATAATTACCGTAAATGAAGCCTTAGAGCAACACAATTTGATAATGATCACAGGACATTTTAGTAAGTTCACACAAATTCCCATTGTTAGGGACAGGAAGCCTGCAGCTTGTCCCAAACCAAGGGACAGGAAGCCTGCAGCTTGTCCCAAACCAAGGGACAAGCCACCTCTTGACCCTAACCAAAGGACAAGCCATCCAAGGGACAAGCCATCCCTTGTCCTTGACCAAAGGACAAGCCATCCAAGGGACAAGCCATATTGAAGCCCTTCAATTGTTCCCAAGGATTTTTTCTAATTGGGTTTAGAATTGCATCAATGTCCCTGCATCTCCATTTGGAGTTACACATAATTATTACAAATAACTACTGTATTTATAACTTCGGCGGGTAGGTGGTTCCATGGGTTTAAAACCTACGGGTGAAAAAGAATCTTTTCTGTCCTACATTGTTGTTGCATGTTGATCTTTAAGCTTGGCCCAAGACCCTGGGTCTTTGACTACGTGCTCCAAGACCCTTGTTGTTTGTTGTTAGCAAAGCAACTCTACGACCTATAACTAAATAAAGCAATGTTGTTGTAGATTTAGGGGCGACGACGATCGTGGGATCGGATGCGCCCCGGTGTACCGCGAAAATACTGTGCCTCGCAGCAAATAAACACACAAACAGCCCAAGACGGGATGTTGTTATAGATTCAGCTACTCGGAACAAGTTCCAGGTAGCACGGGCTATGGTGAGCCCGTTGTGGACTTACCTGGCACAGGAGCGGGGGCAGTGTGCTCCGCCAAGACGGGAGCCCCAGGAGTCCCCTAGGGTAACAAGCACCGGCCCCACGCAACTGGGAAGCAAAACCAAAAACTAAATAAAGTAATGTTGTTGTTGTAGATTTACAGTTTACAATGTTTACATGTAGACCATAACTAAAACGAAAAAAAGTCATCCAATGCCCTCAGGCAGAGCAGAAATCATCCCATCAACTCCCGGCCCGGCCGGCGCCGGACACCCCGCCCGAAAACGTACAAAATCTGTGGACTATCCTGAGACCCGAGGCGATAATTGCGCCAGGCGTCGTAACAATCCGAACCGTTGGATAGGAACGCTAAACAGCAGAACCAAAATTCAAAATCGCAAACAGAACGTCAAACGGCGGCTATACCCGCCAAATAAAGCAATTGCTATTGTCATTGTAGGAATAGAGGCAGCGATAGCACGAGGGCCGTATGGATCCCGTCTTTTCCTTCAGCCGGGGAAAAAAAATGCTGCGCTTTGGCTTTACTGCAGATAAATGTCTGCTTTATGTCCAATTGATTAAGTCCAAATGTCGTGTGTCATCGAGCACACACACGGGGTGTACTTCAGGAAGGCGAGAGCCAGTACATACCCCACACACACACCAACCCGTCCTCGATTCAAGTCCATTCCATCCAGTGGTCGACCCCACAGACGCATTCATAAATTTTTACATGCTGTTCATTCATTCAAAACTGGAATTTTTTCAAAAACATATTAATATTATAATATATTAGCATCTTGTGCATATATAGGCATAGGTTAGATATTTAGGTTCTGTTGGCGATTATTTGTATTCGTAGTATGTGGTGGGTCAAGCATTTATAGGGTTGTGCAACCCGTCCTCGACTCAAGTTCATTACATACAGCGGTCGACCCCACAGACGCATTCATAAATTGTTACATGTTGTTTATTCATACCGGGAATTTTCTCAAATATAAATTAATATTATAATATATTAGCATATTGTGCATATATATAGGTTAGGTGTTTAGGTTCTGTTAGCGATTATTTGTATTTGTAGTACGTGGGTGAAGCATTTACAGCGTTGTGGTTCACGATTCTTCGCGGCAGGGGATCGTATTCCAGGGACCATAGGATTAAGGACTTGCCCGAAACGCTACGCGTACTAGTGGCTGTACAAGAATGTAACAACTCTTGTATATATCTCAAAAAAAAAAAAAAAAAAAAAAAAAAAAAAAAAATCGTCAGTGAAGCACTTGTTCCGGAAGTGTTCCAACGAAATCAGTTGTGAGTCGTGTGTAAACCGTTTTTCATTCGTAAACAAGGTTTGCCGGGTGCATGGAATCACTTTTGAGCCTTTGTTTGGAAGACGGGCTGAGTCCATTACAACCAGTCCGGTCGTGTTGGTCGAGTGGTTAAGGTGTCCTGTACGCCAGATGCAGAGTGCTCCTGGCAGTATGGGTTCGTGTCACTTCTGGGGTGTGAGTTTTCAGTTGCATATATGCCTGGAGACCGTTCAGGCTTGTTCGCATTTGTGTTCCTCACGTGTGCCCCCAAAGAATGAGGTGATTTGATAAAATACCATGCCCAAGATTATCATCAGAGTGCCGGCAGGAGGATGGGGAATTAGCCTCGGCTACCATCCTCTTTTGTTCGGTCGTGTTGGTCGAGTGGTTAAGGTGTCCTGTACGCCAGATGCAGAGTGCTCCTGGCAGTATGGGTTCGTGTCACTTCTGGGGTGTGAGTTTTCAGTTGCATATATGCCTGGAGACCGTTCAGGCTTGTTCGCATTTGTGTTCCTCACGTGTGCCCCCAAAGAATGAGGTGATTTGATAAAATACCATGCCCAAGATTATCATCAGAGTGCCGGCAGGAGGATGGGGAATTAGCCTCGGCTACCATCCTCTTTGTTCGGTCGTGTTGGTCGAGTGGTTAAGGTGTCCTGTACGCCAGATGCAGAGTGCTCCTGGCAGTATGGGTTCGAGTCACTTCTGGGGGTGTGAGTTTTCAGTTGCATATATGCCTGGAGAACGTTCAGACCTATTCGCATATATATATATATATATATATATATATATATATATATATATATATATATATATATATATATATATATATATATATATATATTAAATATCTAATTAAAACACAACAAAAGACAAAAGGAAGGGGGTGGTAGGAGAAAAGCACTCACAAACTGTATTGGAGGGGATCTAAACATTCCCTCTAGTGCGTTATATGTGATTTCCTCCGAAGCTAAGGGTCTCCTTCTTCCAGCCAGAGATGGTACTCCCTTCCATATATATATTATATATATAATTAATACAATGAACAGGTTGAAATAAGTTTATTGAGATGAACACGCTGTACTGAACGGGGTGAGAATAGCTGGAGCTACCTCATCCTTTTGTGTGTATTTGTACCTCAATAAACTTTTCTTACCAAACAACGAGTCAATTTTCTACCTTTGACAACACTTGAAAGCGTATACTTACCCAATTTAACGTAACTTTCGGAGAAGTTAAATATTCCCTGGAAGCCTCTATTTTGAGTGTCGGCGATACGTTCAAGGGTATTGAAGGTGAGGAGGAGAGTGCTTCCCGTACTGAATATGACCAGGTTTCTCTGCTGGCCACAGTAAGTCCCAATTAACGGAGATATGCGTCTCAGACCATCGAACATCTTCACCTGGTCGAATGGACAGCTGCAAATACACAGAGGACGGTTATACTGGGGAGGACAATTTATATTGTTCGGTGAATTACAAAATACGGAAATGCATGAGCCAAGGACGGTATTCTGGTGATATAATGGAGAGTTAAATACAATAAAAATTCTGAATTCTCCTGTAAATTACATCCAGACAACTTGACTTCGTAATTTAATGTACTGTACCTCTACGTGTAAGTGCTACCTCCTTACATATTATACAGTTATTGAGACATGCATTTGGGCGGATACTTTAGTGTGCTCATGATTTGTACCAAGAGAAACAACAACGGCACTTTCCTGCACCGTGGGAGGTTACACCCTTTCCAGTTTTAATCCCTCCCTTTCCACCCAAGAAGCAAATTAGAGATCAGCCCAAGCTTCGTCTTGAGGCAAAGCTCAACGCCTTAAGCCATATTGATGCTCTGTCCACAGAGCATTCTCTCTCTCAAATTATATACACTGATGGTTCCCTACACCGCACCACGGGTGCAGCTGGAAGTGCAGTTGTCCTGACAATGGGCGATGGCCTATACTTTGAGTGGGGAGTCCGTATAAACAACTGGACCTCTACCCTTCAGACTGAACTATTTGCCTTGATCCTTGCACTGAAATGTGTACGTCTCAAAACTTGATACATTAATTGTAAGTGACTCCTTATCATCCTTAAATGCTCTCAACTCTTTAAGACATAACTGTAACATGCTCGTGTCCGAAGCTAGACACAAATACAACAAAATTATTAAGGATGGTAACAGAGTCCATTTCATGTGGTCTCCATCTCATGTTGGCCTCCGAATGCATGATAGAGCTGATAAGTTAGCCAAAGAATCTGCCTTTAAAGGAGCCGTTGAGTGTAACCTTGGATTGTCAATGAGCAATCTGAGAGCAGCAGTACACCGAGAACTTCAACAAGATCTTGTAGATCTGAGGCAAAGTGAAATTGACACCAGTAATTCCATCTATCATCATACTATCATGCAAGAGGAGCCACACATCTATGGATCATCCAATAAAACCAGCAGACTTCTAGATGTTACTACTGCTCGGCTTAGACTCGGTTACAAGTATCTCTGGGAATTCTCATTATCTGCTGATGTAGACCTGACCAAATGTAAACTGTGTCAACAAAATTATTCGCACACCCTCCGTCACTATGTGATGGAGTGCGAAAAGATACGTGAATTTAGAGACAATTCTATAACCAATGTTCCAGCGATGTGTCAATATTTCATTCAAAATGATCTGCTACCAGAAATTTTAGCCAAATATCCCCAGTTTGCTAACTACAGTAGGTAGTAACTAAGTGATTGTAACCTATCCACCGCTTCCCACTGGATGGGGGGCGGTGTGCAGGACAAACATATAACTTGTGACACTAGCTCTCCACATATGTCAGTTGCTTAATTTAGAACCTGTACTTGAGGTCGATCTCGAACCCATTGTTGATGTGATGACTTATATTGAATTTTGTAACTAGCTCATCAAGATTGTAACTTGCTTAGCTAAATGAATTGTGGGGTTCAGTCCCTGAGCCCATTATGTGCCTCTGTAACCCTTTCCACTACCGCCCACAAGATGGGTATGGGGTGCATAATAAATGAACTAAACTAACTAACTAATACCGCCACACTGTGTATAAAACCTGGTGATGTTCCCGCTAACGAGCACACAATTACTCAAGTGAGTACTTGGGTAATTGGGTGAGTACGCAGCTTTTATTTCAAGGGTAGCGTCAAAAATGATCTGAGAGATATCCAAGAGCGTCACAGTAGCAGCCCGCCAGCGTAGACATTGATTGGGCGATCAGCTGTATTGTAGACTAGGCTCCTCCAGGCGGCCGGCTGAACCCAGAAATGTACTCTTAAATTTGAATCTACTGTGTATTTAAAATTTATATCTTCTCAAATATAAGGTAATATTATTACAAACTAGAATGTTTATAATAATATTTCCACACGACATAAATAGTGACATTAGGAGTAAGGAAGATGCTTAGGATGGATAGACACTTAAATAGACCCTTCCTTCCCAACCTCCCTCCCTCTCTCTCTTCCACTATTTCTCTTTCCCTCCCTCCCTTTCCTAATACCCTCTCGCTTTATAAGAAAAAATACGAGAATTGCCTCATTAAAAGTTTGGTCATTCTGTTACATAAGTTTTGTTGGTAATGTTTGCACATAAACGTGACGGAAGACTAAACAGTTTCCTCAAAGCTAGGTTTGATTGCAACTCAAGCTAATTAGCACAGGACGTGTCAGTGAAAGGTTTAGTTCAAATCTATGACGCATAAACGGCGTTGCGTCTTTCGGTTTATATTACACTACTGCATAACAAATTAAGCTATCAGAGGGTTGTAACTGGCAATATTTGCAAAGCAATCCAACTGGACTATTGCTCTTAAAACTGTTTGGGTTCACTAAACTAGGCTAGGGAGTACAATTTCTCAGTCTACTTTTTCTGCCTAGTCTAGTACACACACAAGTGGGAGATATTCATATTTCAAGTGTAGATATATTTCAAGTGTACATATGATTGAACCCAATAGGCTCAGGAACATCAGTTGATTGATAGTTGAGAGGCAGGACCAAAGAGCCAGAGCTCAAGCACAAGGTGAGTACACAACTCACTTTCACTATATGTTGTTTAACAGATCTCTAACCCTGACCATGGAGGAGGAAGAAATGTATATTGTACAAGTGATGGGCCACATCTGTGGTATACATATATATAGATTTCAATAAAACAATACAAAAAATCTTATGTCCAATACACATTAGGCTAATACAGTGTGTGTGTTTGTACTCGCCTATTTGTTCTCACCTATTTGTGCTTGCGGGGGTTGAGCTTTGGCTCTTTGGTCCCGCCTCTCAACTGTCAATCAACTGGTGTATAGATTCCTGAATCTACTGGGCTCTATCATATCTACATTTGAAACTGTGTATGGAGTCAGCCTCCACCACATCACTGCCTAATGCATTCCATCCGTTAACTACTCTGACACTGAAAAAGTTCCTTCTAACGTCTCTGTGGCTCATGTGGGTACTCAGTTTCCACCTGTGTCCCCTTGTTCGCGTACCTTATGTATGTATGTGTGTGTGTGTGTGTGTGTGTGTGTGTGTGTATGTGTGTGTGTGTGTGTGTGTGTGTGTGTGTGTGTGTGTGTGTGTGTACTCACCTAATTGTACTCACCTAATTGTGCTTGCGGGGGTTGAGCTCTGGCTCTTTGGTCCCGCCTCTCAACCGTCAATCAACTGGTGTACAGATTCCTGAGCCTATTGGGCTCTATCATATCTACATTTGAAACTGTGAATGGAGTCAGCCTCCACCACATCACTTCCTAATGCATTCCATTTGCTAACTACTCTGACACTGAAAAAGTTCTTTCTAACGTCTCTGTGGCTCATTTGGGTACTCAGCTTCCACCTGTGTCCCCTTGTTCGCGTCCCACCAGTGTTGAAAAGTTCGTCCTTGTTTACCCTTTTACCCTACGTCCTTGTGTGTATGTGTGTGTGTGTGTGTGTGTGTGTGTGTGTGTGTGTGTGTGTGTGTGTGTGTGTGTGTGTGTGTGTGTGTGTGTGTGTGTGTGTGTGTGTGTACTCACCTAGTTGTACTCACCTAATTGTGTTTGCGGGGGTTGAGCTCTGGCTCTTTGGTCCCGCCTCTCAACCGTCAATCAACAGGTGTACAGATTCCTGAGCCTATCGGGCTCTGTCATATCTACACTTGTGTGTGTGTATGTGTGTGTGTGTGTGTGTGTGTGTGTGTGTGTCCTCAAGCCTCTGATCGTCTCGAATTGTATTCCATTACAGGCATGATATACATGAATAGAAATACTTTACTACAGTGTAAAGTACAGTACTAAAGGAGCTACTCAACCTGCCATTAACACGCCTATTATTCATACATTATTTATATTACTACGAAAAATAATAACAGATAAAAATACAAATCAAACATATAACAAAAATGAAACGATCAGAGAGATCAAAACTCGCCGAATCATTGATGAGGAAATAGCTTCCATAAACGCCAAACGAGAGAGAGAGAGACCTGACAGTTGATTAGGCTAACACTTTTTTGGTTAGACTCGACACGGGGCTTAAATGTGATAAATATTTTAAGTTAGATACACGGCTGAAGTCTGACGCTAGGGGACGGGAAGGCTGAAACACAGAGTATAACTGAACCAATAGGTAGAAGGACTTTTAGTGCCTTTTTGAGGTCTTAAAAGTTCCCTACATGAACTGTGCATCAATGCAATGGCGATTATATATAGTGGTTATGTTTCCCGAACAAGATGAACCAGGCAGATATACTCGTACACATGTATACGAATCGGCAGACACAACAAAAAATATTACGTTGCTTATTAGCTGTTCTCAGTTTATTCTTATTTTATCCGTTCTCTAGAGGACGCCAGTCAAGCAACAGAATACAGATCTTTAAATATGTATATTTTATGATTCCCTCATTAATGCATGAGCGCCTGTCTTACAAGATGAATACTCACCCAGTTTACCTGACAACGTTAATCTACGCGGAGAAATCTGACAAAAATAATGCCTAATTAGCATAAGCAGCCACCTGGCGAGATTAATGCATAAACAGCCACCTGGCGAGATTAATGCATAAGCAGCCACCTGGTGAGATTAATGCATAAGCAGCCACCTGGCGAGATTAATGCATAAGCAGCCATCTGGCGAGATTAATGCATAAGCAGCCACCTGGTGAGATTAATGCATAAGCAGCCACCTGGCGAGATTAATGGTCAAGCAGCCACCTGGCGAGATTAATGCATAAGCAGCCAACTGGCGAGATTAATGCATAAGCAGCCACCTGGCGAGATTAATGCATAAGCAGCCAACTGGCGAGATTAATGCATAAGCAGCCACCTGGCGAGATTAATGCATAAGCAGCCACCTGGCGATATTAATGCACACGTAATATGTCCCTTAAAACCGTCAAATCGAGTTGAGAAATGAAAGATTGTAAGTGTGAGGGATACAGAT